GTGTATTATTTGTTGAAACTGTACTTCCGATTTGATTTGAAACTGTCTCATTGCTATCTGTTTATCAATAAAACTTTGAAGAAAAAAAAAGAAAACACTCTGGTGTGTGCCTGTAATCCCAGCTCTTGGGAAGCTGAAAACAGGCAAATCACTATGAGTCCAGTCTACATAATGAGACCCTGTAGACCCTGTACCAAATACATTTAAAAAAAAAAACCACTAATCCCACTAATTTCTGAAATCTCTGCCCTGGTACCTAATTACCTTCAAAGGCCATACTTCCAATGACTTGTGATCAGATTTTGACAAAAATTAATTTTGAGGAAACACAAACTATAGAAAATTTTATTGGGCCGGGGAGATGGCTCAGTAGAATAAGTGCTTGCCTGGCAAGCGTGAGGGTCTGAGTTCGATCCCTGGTTCCGCCAAAAAAAAAAAAAAAAAATTATTGTCTTTCTTCTTCTTTTGGTTTAGTTTGCTCTTTTCTAGTGTCTTAAGGTGGAAGTTAGGACATTGGTTCCAGGCCCTTCAGATAGAAACATTCACTGCTAAAAATTCTCATTCGTAAGAACTGCCTTAGCTGCATTTCACAGAGTTTGGTGTCTTGTACTTTTTTGTTGTTGTTCAGTTTAAAATACTTTCTAAAAAAAAAAAAAAAATGCTTCCTAGTATCTGTTACCTCTTTGACCCAGTTCCTCAGTTATGTTACTTAGTTTCTATGAGTTATTTAGGTAGGTAAGTATTTTCCAGACATTTTTGTTATTGATTTCATATTTGATTATTTTGTGATAAAGGACATGGTGTTTTGCATGGATTAAATCACTTTGACTTAATCATTTTTCTAATATGCTCTTAGAATATGTCCCGGGGCCGGTGAGATAGCTCAGTGGACTAAGTGCCTGCTTTGGCAAGCACAGGGACCAGGATTCGATCCCCAGTCCCATAAGCTGCACCAGCCCCACCCCCAGAGCACACTGAGCCAGGCATGTCTATAATCCCAACACTGGAAAGGCTGAAAACAGGAGGATCATTGTGAGTCCAAGCAGCATAGTGAGAACCTGTACCAAATACATAACTTAAAACAAACAAATAAACAAAAAAAAAAAAAAAAAAAAAGATCTGTTTTGTTAAGAACAATGGTGTTCGGGTCTACTCTGTTTCGCTGCCTGCTTGTCCTATACTTTACTGAATAATGGGTATTGACATCTCAGATTGTACTTGGGAATTGGTCTGTTTCTTTTGGCAGTTGTTTTGCCCTCAAGTTTTGTGTTTTTTTTTTTTTTTTCCTTGAGTGTTTTTGAAGCTGTTATTGGGCACATAAACATTCAAGGATTATACATCTTCTTGATTAATTGAACCCTTTATCAATTTGAAATGACCTAATTTATTGTACAAAGGCTCAAGTCAACAACTTCTGACAATTACCAGTTCTGCTGATAACTCAAAACTATTATGGACTGTTGGACTATATTGGGATATTTTGCTGAATTCAAGTACCTACAGTATTTGAACTGGCATCAAGTATGAAAAGGTCCTTTAAAGACTTCTCCAAATATAGTTTCTCTAACAGCAATAGAACACCCATCTCTGGCAAAACAAAGCAAAAAAGGGGGATATAAATGAAAGACCATTTTGTAGTGAAAAAAATATATGTGTATATACAAAATAGGATAAATATGCAGCTGCTTTCTCTTAATTCAATAAGAAGAAAGATTTGTACTAATATTATTTAGACAAGAGATCATGTCTGCATCTTGTACTGTGAATACTACAAAGGCAATACACGATGTATTAGTTATTGTAACTGTCCTATTAACCTGTTTTGAAACTGTCTCATTGCTATTTCTGTCATTAAAATTAATTTTAAAAAAAGAATTTTACTCTGAGAGGTCTACTTTCATATTAAGATAACCATTTCTGCTCAGTCTTCTTTTGTCAAGTATTAGCATGGGTTTTTTTGTCTTTTTAACCTGTTTATGTCTTTAAAGTATATTTTTCATAAAAATATTTTTCAAATATTTTCATGCCTTTTATCCATACTGACAACTTGCCTTTTAATTGAATTTTTGACTCTTTTCATTTAACATGAAGTACCAACCCTTATACAATCAAAATGTGTATATAGATTTTGACTCTCAAAAACTTAACTACTAGTGCCTACTATTAAATAGAAGCTGTTATTGGGCATATAATAGAAACTGTTGCCAATAAAATAAACCGTTGATGCCCTGCATCTTTGTGTTTATTCATGTTTTTCTTGACTTCAAATTACAGTTTGTATGCATGAATGTTGGTAGATTTTAACTTTTTATAATGGATCTCTGTGTATTTTATGGTTGAACAAGATAAACTATTCTCTGCGTATATTGCATGCATTTGTGACATTCTTTTTGTTTAACTTTTTCAATATTTCTAGGCTGTGTGGTTCATCTGTAAGGTTTTGCAGATTATCTGATATCTCCCAATAAAATCCTGACCTGTGCGGTTCAAATCTGTGTTGTTCAGGGGTCGGCCGTCAGCCTGCCTGCCATGCCATTTGATTGTGGTCAGTTCCATCTCTATAAATGCAGTTCGTTTTTTTTTTCAAGTATCTTTCATGACTCTTCTGTCTTTATTTTTGGATATAGTTTTGTTTTTTATAAATAGATTCATCCTTCCTGGTTTTGATTTTCTGATTTGTTAGGTGTATCAGAAAATGTTTAGCATATGGTTAATTCCCCAGTGCTGACGCAAGATGTTTCTGATTACCCATTGTCCTGTGAATTGTTAGTGTTTCCAGCATGCAGGAGCACCAACCGGTTTCCTTTGATCTTTTCAGATGCTTTTTTCCCCTGGATCTGAAGTAGCTTATGTCAACTGAGCTGTTAGTCTGCTCAGTGCTAGAGGAGTGGGGACTCTGTCGACCTCCAGGGTCCATACTGTCCTCATCTCCTGGCTGCTCTCCCCTGGGATCTCTGTCTGCTTTGTTTTTATCAGACTCAGCTTCATCACTAAATCACTTCAGCTGGGGAATGTGATGGACTCCACTTCTTCTCCTTATTTGAGGGAAGGGAACTGAGACATTCAGAATGCTTACTTCATTTGCCTCCTGTCTTATCAGGGATAATTGTCTTCATTAACTAAAGTGAAAATTTGTTTGATGTATTTTTGTCTGCTTTGTTTTGGTGGTTTCGGTGGGAATTTAAATTAGTACCTGCAACTCCATCTTGGCTAGAAGCAAATTGCCAGAGTCTCAGCATGCACTGTAGCTTGATAACAAGGCTCTTAAATTTTTGGGCTGGGGATATAGCTCAGTGACACAAGTGCTTGCCTAGCAAACACAGGTCTCAAGTTCAATTCCCAGCCCCCCCCCAAAAAAAAATAAAGAGAATAAAAAATAATAATAGAGTTCAAGGAGGAGGGAGGAGTGGAGCATCACCAGTGCCTAGTGCCACTGGGAGACAATGAGCGTGATGGGCTTGGGCAGTGTCTTGCCTCATCTCATTCAGCACAAGCCATTGGCTACACAGCCAATCTCTGAGTAATGAAGAAAATATGAAGCTCTTTGGGAAATGCAACAATACAAATGGCCATAGCTACAATTAATTTTTTTTAAGGTTGTTTGTGTTTTACTGTGCATACATTTTGTTTTTTTTTTTCCTTTTCAAAGTTTTATTGATAAACAGCAATGAGACAGTTTCAAATCAAATCGAAAGTACAGTTTCAACAAATAATACACTGCATATATTCTTCTT